GAGAGAGAGAGAGAGAGAGAGAGAGAGAGAGAGAGAGAGAGAGAGAGAGAGAGAGAGGCAGGGAGGAGAGAGGGACGCGAGAAAGATATACATATACAGAGAGACAGAGAGAAAGGGAGATAGATACATGGACTAGAGATTGGCTCCGGAGAGCGAGAACACGCTGGGGGCGGGCGACGGACGGAGGGAAGTAGAGAAACGCATTGTCTCAACGGCTCGATGACGATCGCGGCAACGTACGTACGTCCGCGCCACCGCCGTCACCGTCGCCGCGCGGTGCGCTACACATTGTTACGTCAGTGAATTGTCGTCATCCCGTCGTCGTCTCCTGGTCCCGACGGGGATCGCGCTGCTGGATGACAGTCGCGCGTACCGGCGGCGATAATATCTCCGCCACGTCGATTAGACGAAGCTACGGTCAGCGACGACGAGCAACGGACGACGTCGGGTGAGAGGGACAGAGAGGAACACATAGAGTCTCGTCGTGCTCTAGAGAGAAAGAGAGAGAGAGAGAGAGAGGGACGGGGAGAGAATTCCGCTTACTCTCCGCTCGGAGAGTTCTTCCGGCGCTCTCCCGCCCGGTACGTGCTGGAAGCATGAGGCTTCGCAATCGGGGAAGAGAGAGCATTGTCCCTCTCGGCGCTGCAAGCCTCTCTAGGCCCGTCGAGGATCGGGGCTACGTGACAACGAGCGTCTTCGAGATAGCATCGTCATGACGATTATAGGCGGAACAGGCAGGCGCGGGTAACACGGACGTCGACCGAAGTATCGTGCACGCGGAGAATACGTCGCGGAGGCCCTCGCTCGTGCTACAGACAGACGCGAAAACCGCGCCGAGTGCGCTGGTTCCTTTCGTTTTGCTTTTTCAGTCGATTCAGAGCGCGCTCCTTAGTTCCTCAAAGAGAAGTCGCTTGAAACGCTTTCAGAGCGACCAAGAGCGCGAGACCTTCAGCGGCTATCGAGTTCATGAAACGTACACGTAGATCTTGGGATAGAACTGTCACGGCTACACAAAGTAAAAGTACCAATTCTTGGACACGTATCTAATCCTGAACATTCCTATCGTTTTGGTCTTTAAATACGAATATTTAAACTTTCGACATAGCATATGTATATATATTTAATGTATGTATATATATTTTATATTGAAAGTTTAAATATTCGTATTTAAAAAGACAAAACAATAGGAATGCCCAGGAATAGATATGTGATCGGACATTAAACATGATGATTGGCGCTATCATGCTATTTGGATTTAATCTCTCTTATTGTATAACTTATCTTATACTAAAAAATTACTCCAAAATTCCCAGCCCACGCGGTTCCTTCATCGTATATCGAACGTTACGAGTCGAGTGTTTTCCCGAATCAGTTTCAGTGGAGAGTAGATAAGAATATTTGGTCTTACCTGTGGTGAAGAGGACGATAGCTTTGAGGCAACTGTACTCCGCGGTGTCGACGTGTAGCGCCTTGAGCTTTTCCACTTGCTCCTGGAAGATCCTGATGTGGTCCATGAAGGCGACCACGCGGTCCGCCGCCATCGGGGTGGCATGCAGGCCCGCCGCCGCGATGAGCGGCGCCACATGGAGAGGCATCGAGCACTGGCTCGCGTTCAGGACGAACAGCTCGCTCCACACTAGCCTGAGCAGGGCGACCTGGTCCGTCACCTGGAGATCCGGGAAGAACGGGATGTTGCGGGCCCACTCGACCGCCGAGAAGAGCAGCCTTGCCGCGAGCTCACACATGTTGTCAATGCCCATGATGTTGCTGCTGGGTTGTACGCATTGGCCATATCTCGTGGTCGGGTAAGGTTCCGCCCTGAGGAGCAGGCTTATGTACGACTGGAGGTAAGAGTGTCCGTTCAAGTTGGCACACGCGACCGCGTCTCCGTTCGTGAGGGCGAACTGGCCCGGCAGACCCGGCAGCTGGGGTTGCGACGGTGGTACCCGCCCCCTCTGCACGGCTGAAACAAGAACGAGCGCGTCGGAAACGCTTGATAATGCTTGACAGACTCGTCTTCACCTAATACTGTGATCTCGCTGTTCGCGTCGCACGGCACACGTTGCGTCATTGCTCGGTCATCCGGATCCGTACAAGCCCGCTCGAGCGAGGAGCGGCGGATCGGGACGGCCGACTCGGACGATCGATCTATTAGTCGATCGAGTTCGCAGAATTTTTGTCAAGCCCTGTTATAAGTATTGCAAGAAAATGTGAAAGTTGCGTGCAAAATATGGAATATATTGACACGTACAAACACACGCGTGCGCATTGATTGTCGTATTAATTTCCGTTGATTTTTACAACAAATTAACTGATAATTGTGAATTACATTGATACCAGGGATAGGTATAATTAAAAAAATGCAATGTATGTGTGATACTGCGTGTGTGAAATACAGGGTATTTCAGTGAAGATGTGCAATCTTCTCCTGGACGAAATGTCAGTGGACTGAAATGTTCGCGAAACATTTGGAGCGAATTCGCGAAAATTCAACAAAAAAGAAAAAATTATCCATAGGAGAAAAGAATTAAAACGCTTCATCTCGTTTTATGGACTCCCCGTTGACCGTAAATCGAATTTTTCAGATGCAATTAATTATTATACTTGATACGTAACCTAATGAGACGCGATAGTATCAGAGCAGCGGTTACCAGTGACCGTCACGGCGCTTCACGTATCAATCACGCGATTCCGTATTACCATTCGGGGTCTTTCTTTTTCTCTTCACATCCTCTCCCACGATTTTCAAATCCGCTTTTACGGCACGCTTTGTAATGCCGACGTGTCCCAGTTTACGTGCCTCGGCCCGAATCCTCTGGAGGATCTAAAGGGATTTTGATGCTCGCTCGCTCACGAGTGTATTTCGACAAGTCCGTCGACGTGGACTTATCTACGCAGTCACGCGTCATCGAGTTCGCGACTTTCGGTGGCGGTGACGACGATGAGGAGGAGAGAAACAGGCTCTTTTGCGTTTCTCTCTGCGCGACGAGATCTCGGTCGAAATATTTCTGCCGTATATCTAAGTAACGGTTAACCGACTCCCGAGCGCGAATACGCACGCTCGTTGACCACCATAAATACATATCGACTGTTACATCAAACCGCTCGCCGGTGAGTGACGTCAATGTGAAGAGACGGACAGGCGCACTTAGCGATAATGTAGGCGCGATGAAAAGCGGAGCGGGATCATACGCGTGAGACCAGCGACGATCGCCCAGCTCTCGTACACGACTCTCCTTTTGGGTGTCAGTGGCGAAAGGGCGCCCTCTCACTCGTCCGGTTGAAAATCCCGTGCCAAAAATATATGGCGATGATCGGCTTGCGTCACGCTTGTCTATACGCCGACAGTGTAAATTTCTACGTCGCTCAGGGCGATCATTCTCGACAGGCGTGACGTAACGAGCGGGTCATCCTCTTCTTCTCTTCGGACAGCGCTCGCGTCGACCACCGTGTAGCTAACGGTCCGTTTTACCCAGGGCGTTCGAGTGTCCGCGCCTCGCTCGCGGCAGGACTTGGAGGATACATAACGCACTCGTTATATCTCGACAATCGGTACGCTCGCTACTTCTAAGAAGTCACCGGCTACGACTACGAGGACTACGGGGACCAGGATGTCGAGGACTACGAGCAAAGAGGAGGATGAGGAGGAAGAGGCACGACACCTGTGCCGGAACCCGGACGAGCCGCGGCGGTCACGCGCAGGCACACTCTCTCGAGTGCCTGCAAATATTGTGCAAAGGCAAACACGCGGTGCCATAACGCGGCTCGTTCAAGTACACGCAAACACGGCCGATCGCCCGAGGGACCGGCGATTCGATCGGAACGGCGAATTTCGTCGAAAGCTGTGTGCGAGCTGTGTTCCGGTTCACCGACCGGCCGTCCCCGTCGTCGTCATCATCATTATTTTTTCGCATGCTTACGTGGCATTCGAAAAGTACATGGCCTAATACAGAAATAACTTGGCCAAATTTTTATTACCTTATTTCGGAGCTGTATTTCCTTTATTAGATCACGTATGATAATATAGAGTGATGTGTCGAAGGAATAAACAATTCCTAGCCAACTCTATCAGACTAGTTTCAGAATAGCAAATTCTCTAAAGGAGACTAGGTTGCTTCGGACTTGCTCACTGTCCCGTTATGTCGCACTGAGATCTATAGAAGGTCATACCGATTAGTATCTGCCAGTTTGTGGAACTGCATTCCCATCTCTATACGAAATGCAGGCTCTTTATACGCATTTGAAAGTGCACTTTATGATTTTCTCCTTGCTAGAAGGGCTACCTCTGTTAAACTAACTAAACACGTTCATTCACTCTCTTTTTCCATCTTTATGTTGCTCTGTATCAAATCTATGCCTACTTTTGCTCACTGTAACTTAATTGCGCTTCAGAGGAACCTCCCTAGAGCGCACAATAAATCTATCTGTCTATCATCATCATTATGATCATCATCATCATCATCACATCATTGAGGTTAATGCCCGTTGCAATTCTCAAGCAACGAGCTGTTTTGTCTCATCCTTTTTTGCCACAGCGCTATTAAGTGAATTTCTAATTTCGCCACATTGCGTTGCTGTCCATTTTTCTTGCTGCGTCTCGCGAGACAACGATGTACGATAACGTGGGCCGTCGATGACTTCCTACGACGACGGGGCTCGTCGTTGATCGGGCGGGGATGTGCGACGGGTACCACGTCGTAGCTTCCCGTGCGCGATCATGCGAGATGTCCTGCGGACCGTTACGTACTTATAAACGCGCCTCTGCCGCATTCTCCGGGCGCGATTACCGCGATTATTGCCGGACCGCGCATTTTTTCTGCGTGCGAGCGAGCACGCGGATTACACACACATGCACACGGTGGAGGAGAAGGCGAACGACGCTATTACTCTCCTCCGTTGAGTAACGACCGCATGAGAGAGCGTGCGCGCGCGCTCGCGCGCGATTGTCCACCGTGCGCGATTGTGCTCGTCCGCGTAACGCAATTACTTCGCGTTACTCGAGTGTGCTTTCACTCGCGATAATTGGCAAATGACGGGGCAACGCGTGCGCGTGACAATGCTGAAAACGAGGCGGCCGGAACGAGCTGCCGGCGCGAGCCTTCGTAAATCTGCGCCTCGGCTCTTCTCGCGCTCGCTTGCTCAAGTAGATAACGTCGCCGGTGAATTATTTCAACATGTACATGACGAATGCCACGGTTGGAGCTCCCGCCAAGGTTGAATTTAGCGATAATATTTTTCGATCTGTGTGTGATTTAGGCCAGAAATTTGGCACGTGTTTTCCCCGAGTGCTTGATTACGTGCTTTTTACAAATGAGCCGTACGACGAAGTGAGAATAATAAGAGTGTGATGAATTATAGTAAAAATGTAATAAACAAGTATAATTTTAAGTCAATAAGTGTCGTCGATTTTTGGTCATCGTCGACATTCTTATCTCGCTGCAAAAAGTTTGCAATCAACTCCCTTGCGCGGGAGGCTTTTATTGGCCCAGAAATTAATCCTTATATATTGAGAGAAAAAATATCTGGAAAATAAAAAAATATTTATTCGGTGGGTACTAATAATATACTTACTTATATTAATATACTTTTTTATATATTATTTATGTACTTTTATATATACACACATACATACATACATACATGCATATATATATATATATGTGTGTGTGTGTGTGTGTGTGTGTGTGTATATATATATATACTTATGCACCGATGAAAAAATTGTTTAAAATTCTTTTTAAAACCTCAGCTTTTCATAAGATGAGCAACTGTTTATTCTATTTAAATAAAAAAAATTAGATTTAAGTAAATACGTACTCACAGAATAAAATGTTTTTATTTTATTAGATATCTTTTCTTTTACCAGAACGATTGAATATTTAAGAATCTGAATAGTATCTCGCGTTCAGCTTGATAATTAAGACGTCAGAATTAAATTTCAATTTCTTTTTACGCCATTTTCTATGATTATTTTTGACGAATCCCGACGCAACGTCGCGATAAAATCGCGCGCGGCTGACAACTGGCAAAAAATCGCGAGCACTCGATGTAGCGAGGAAGCGCGCGGAACACCGACGACATTCTGGAGAACACTCGATCCTCGGAACGCGGAACCGAGAGGCAACGTCGAGGGGACTCGAAGCCCGCAGCCGAAAGGGAACACCGTCTAGGACGTACCCCGGCAAATTGCGACTCGCAAATAACAACGCGTGGGCGTATGTACGGTGCACCGATGCAGTGCGGTGCGGCTCTCGTGTTCTCCGGGGAGATAGCCGCTCTCGAGAGCGCGGCAAGGAGAGAATGGGAATGAGAAAGGCGGAGAGCTCGCTCTAGCTCGCGAAACAGACTGGCGGGGTGGTGCGGGACCGGGAGAGAGGGTGGCGCGTTAAAAGCGAAACGGGCGAGGGGCAACGGCGGAAGGAGAAGAAGAAGACAACGACGAAGAAGGAGGAATAGGAGGAGAAGAAGAGGACGAAGAGAGCAGGAGGAACGGAACCGAGCGATGCGCCAGGAAGGGAGTCTTTCACGTACGAGGTTCTCCCGCTCGAGAGAGCCGGGACTCGAAGAAACGGCGCCCTGCTGAGAAGCGCTTGGATTCCAACCTCCGCCCCGCGGCTAACGAAGGAATGGGTTCTCTCTCCTCTGGTCTCGCCCTGGTCCCGCTCTCGCTCCCACCTTCTGAGTACTCCTCGCGAGGAGAGGAGGTTCCAGACGAGGGTTCCATCGTCTCGCCGCATCGGAATCGGGGGGAACGGGGAGGGATCGACGAAAGTCCATTTAACGCACACGAGACGGCGAGACGCGCGCGGCGCTTCCGCGATATCGATGCATCGACGATGAGGCGAGAAAGGGCGAACGAACGGGACAGAGAGACAGGGTAAGAGGAGCGCGTACAATGACGCGAAGTTGACACGCGAAACCGGAGATAAACATGTTCCGAGCATGCGGGTGAGCTTGTCCAGA